AAACCGCTTTCATTTAACTAAAATGACTTTACACTAAGACACTATCAATTGAAATATTGTGAATTTCATTTTAGGATCTGTATACAGTCTGAACAACTGATATCCATAATGATGAGAAAAAAAATTTCCTGGCAATTCTTTCCTTTCGGTCTTCATTAATTGCCATCTGAAATGAATATCATTCAAGTTTTATATATTATATAATATTAAAAATAATTGGATATTACATAATATTAAAAATAAAATAACAATTAAAAATGATTCTTTAAAAAAAATTAAATGTTAAATATAATGTAAAGAAGCCCAGCTAATGCTGTTAGTCTTGTTTCACTATGTACTTGTAAGTGCCTACTACAAGGAGTGGGGGAGATTTTCTCAGTATGCAATAAACAGGAGGTGGTCTTATAAAGGTGTGGCTGGGTTAGAAAATCATTTAATGGGTCAAAAAGTGTAAAATTAATAAATGGGGTGACTTAATAAACTCGTGTTGGTGGGATGGTCCTCAAAAATAAAATAAAGAATACCCCCACCACAAACATTTGTTAGATACCTAAGAATATACACCCCAAATATCAGTTTACATAATTTACCTGCACCTGATATAAATGTATCTTACATGTTGGTAACTGCAGTTGCTTTATGACTTCATATAAAAAAAATCAAAAAAAAAAAAAAATCAACCACCCAAGGGTGCCTTTATTTGCAGATTATAAAGTCACGTTACATGAATTTACTGAGGAAGAGAAACTAATATATATATATATATATATATAGTTTAAACATGCGCCATTAAATGAGACAAATTTTTCTTTTGATAATCATTTTTGGGATTCTTTTCATTTGTTAAGCAATCTTTCATATGTCAGGGTCAGTCATTGAAAGAGGAACTCTAAATTTGGTTTTCAAGTGCATTGTTGATCATCATCAACAGGAGAGAGTTTCTTTACTCAAAAAATATTTTTTGTTTTCAAAAGAAAAATTTCCGTGGTATTTAACATGTCTAACCAATGATTTGCAGCCAATATAAACAAACTGTCACTGACAATGGAAGAGATTTCACCTTAAACTGGTCAAGATTTTAATACTTAAACCAAGAATTAAGAGATTTTTGAAATATGAAAATAAAAAAAAAAAACTATAAGGGTATATGTATATTGCTTGAGAGATCAAACAGTAATTGGACAGGTTATTTCAAAATCATGGATGCCAGTGAACAGATGCACCAAGAAATATATTTAGGAAATGGTCGAATTTAACACTAGATGTACAGATTATAGGTGAGTAATCATTACTTTAAATAAATTGACTTAAAAAACAGATTTACAATAAAAGATACTTAAGCCACTAACAGCCAAATTGTAAATTAAGTGGCTACACCTGAGATAAAATTTATAATTGAAAAATGAATGAACATGGACAAGATTTTTCATTAGCATAGGAAATATAAAAGGAAATGGATCAGATTTGTACATTTACTGAAAAGATTAATTGGTAAAGGAAAGAAGCAAAAGACATTTAAAAAATAAAATAAAAATTATACTGAAATGTTTTTTTTTAAGTTAAAAAAATAAAGGTCAACTTTTATATATAAAAAAAAAATTGATCAATAAAGATTTTTTAAAAATCAATGAGATATTTAAATTCAGTTCAATCTCAATTTAATTGATTTCAGGAAAAAAAAACTTCCTATGTTAATAGCTTTACCCCATCACTTCAAAGATTCTGTCATTCAAAAGCAGTAAAAATGGCCTGCTCCAATTTCATGATTGGTCACAGAAAGATTCTGAAGGTTTGTGGGTAAAAGAACATTTTACCTTCTACCCATATGCATAGAATATTCAAAACCAAATTGCAATCAAGTAAATCTGAGATAAATAAAACTTACTTAAATTATTTCTAGACTTATGTCCTCATCTTTGTTATTATGACAACATTTTGGCCACTGTGCCCTCTGGCCTTCTTTAAGTGTCTGTTGATCCAGGTTTCAAGGGATTTTTGAACAGCATCTTTTGTTTAATCTATGGTTCTCATTCTGCTTTTCAGGTCTTGGAATATATCATTTTTTTTTTTTTAAACTACTGCTCAGTACAAGATGAGATATTAAATATGGATGGCAGAACAAGAACAATCAACCTCTGCAGATTAAATAAAGGGTTCAGTTCAAAATTCCTTGTAAGTTACTCAGATTAAACCTGACACCTGAAGAGTACCACATAGTACAAGGGCCAAAATCTTGTGACAACAGAAATGTGAATATTAGTCTGATTAAATAATGATAACTCCTCATCTCAAAAATTAAAACAAAAGAAAACATCTAATGTTTGAATGTTTTCTTCAACTTTATTTCAAAATAATAAAAAAAAGAAATTTTTTTCTTAACATTTATTAAATCAAGGTTAAATTGTGTCTCCATATCTTTAAGTATGTCAGGCAAAACGAGTTTTACAACATAAATATAAAAACAACTGACACAAGCCAATAAATGGAATTTTGTTTTGAGAACACTAAAATCCACTGACAAAATTCAAGCAAATTTTTGCTATCAGGACATTACAGTTTTTTTTTTTTTTTTTTTTTAAATAGAAGGTGATCATGAAATGAGGAACATTTCTAAAAGGGATAATAAAAAGCATTGAAAATATGACTTTTGCAAAAGATCTCAACATCTGTTTATATGACATCAAATATTTTCATCCAAAGAATTAGGAGTCATCTTTTTAAAATATTTTCAAATTTTCTTTTCTCTATTAAGCTTTAAATATTTACAAGCAGAATAATAGCATAGCAAATATAAAGTGTCCTTTGAAGTCTGTCCTCACAAAATTTGAGTCAGAAGGAAAAGAAGACATAGCAAACTAAAGACATTCAAATCAACAAATACTTTCCATTTTAAATACTGGTATTTTCTATGTAAAGGAATGTATAAAAGCAAAATGCTAATTTATAACAAACAAGTAATGCATGTTATGTTGTTTTATAAATTCTGAGAAACATGTAGCCTGTGTGATAAAAATACTGGTTCAATCAAGTTTTATATTAACAGACTTAAAACTGATCAGTTAATATGGCCAGTGGAAGAATACAAGAATTATCTTCATTTTACAGATATACAAACAGATCACCTGTGTGCATCAGCATCATTTTCAAGGCTTGCCAAGATTTAGATAATAATTTGAACCTAAATCAACAATGACCTAAAGTTGAACCTAGCAACAACAGAGTTTTGGTATTTTTTCAGTACAGCAGCAGAATAGGTTTCAAAATGTTGATCAGTGGTCAGATCTATATAAAACTGAATATAACATTTAGAAGTTACTGATATTCCACTTTTCACCAACCACTCAAAGATGGTTGAAACACAAACTTCTTATGGTAATAAAATATTCCTTAATTTAAATCAGAAATAACAATATATATAAAATTGCAGATAGACATCAGTTCTTATATTAGTGGTACAAACAACTAACTACATATTAATAAGTGAACCAGAAACGAATGCTTACACCAAATAAGCCATGTAATCCACTTTACATATTTTGGAAATTCATTTGAAGATTTCGAATTAAAAATAAAAATTCTTAATATCATACACATAATTTAGAAAGGCTGAATTCCTAAAAGCATGGTGGGTATTTTAGATTTTAAAAGCATAGAAGCCATTTTCCCCAGATTATAAAAATGAATCTTTTCATGAGTGATCCTATCAAGCAAAGTAAAAAAAAAAAAAAAAAAAGTTCAATAACCAATTTCTTTTATCAGGAAAATGTCCAAGTTTTATCTTTGCTTTGTAATAGATCATGGGAAAATGACTATTGTTATATGAAATGAAAATTGTTGACAAATGTAAAAATGTAACATCTTTATTAGATGAGCTTATGACATTCACAAGCAATATTCTTATATTTGTTTAAACCTGTAAGAACTTGAGTTATAAACATGCAATATGATACTTAAAGGAAATGTATTATAGAAATTAATAATATATGCAATGAAATAATAGCATAAATCTTGATAAAAAAATACAAGGAATAGTTGGTGATGAAAAAAGTTTAAAAATGATATTATGATGAGCTTTTGCAAATTTTTTCAAGCTGAATTGAAATAGAATAAATAAATGAAGTGAAAAATTATGTAAGGTCAAATAATGATGAGTAGAGGTAAAGTTTAGTTTAATCTGACACAAGGGCAAATGAAGCAAAATAAAGAGATAGGAAGAGTGACAATCTTCCATATAGCAAGACCTTGCTTACCTGTCTAGGAAATCAGTATTTCAAATCCTGGTTTTTAACCTGGGCTTGAACACTGACACCACTGGGAAAGACTAAACTATCTTAGTCTCTAAAGCAGGTTCATAACAAGGAATTTAATTTGAGGAAATGAAGAAATTTCCAAAACTAATCAGAAGATTCAAGTCAAAAGGGAAAGTATATAAGAAAAGACAAATAGCTTAAAGCAAAGCATATTAGTTAACTTTTGTAAATGTCATTTTTTTTTTAATGCTTGTCATGGTTTAATTATTAGAAAAAAATGCCCTAACAAGAATATTCTTGAATCAAAAGAAGACAGATTCTTAAGATGAGGAATCATTAAAATCCTGAAAGTTCATTCAAATTAATCTAATTTTTATTTTTTTCTATAGAGTGATAATTTCATTTTATCTGATGTAAATTATGTGTGTGTTCAAGAGATGGTCAGAAAAATTACATTTAAAATGTAAAAAATTGACAAAGAGTGTTCTGTTCCATAGACAACCCACTTTTTACACAGAATTAGATGTAGTTTTAATGTTACTCAGTTAAACTTAAATGCTTAAATTCATTTTTCTATACAGCATATGCAAAATAGTTTTATACTGAGAAATCTAAATAAAGATTGAAAAAGACAATGTAAAAAAAAAACATTATAAAAAGGCACAAACAACTGCTATTTGAAGAAAGAGAAAAAATTGGAAAAAAAATCCCTTTTGAAATGTTTCTTGAGAAAGGAAAAAAGAAACAAATTTATTCATCTTCACATTCAGCCCAAGCTTCTTCAGCCAGTGTATAATATTTGCAAGCCATTCTGCCATTCATGGACTCTGTTGCAGCATCAGCTGCCTCAGTGTACAAGTCTCCTAAAAAAAAAAATGTTTATATAAATGAATGATACTTTATATTCATAAAGTAACACAATTACTAATTATTACTCATTATGTATTTTTCTACTGTGTGCAATCAACATAATACAATAAGCAGAAGGAAATTTACATTCATCTAATTTTCATTAATGCCATTCCTGACATCATCAGTTCTTAACTTGGTATCTATGTTGATTACACAACTACTTAAGAGTAAATAATCTTAATAGTAAATCTGATCAGTTTGATAAGGTCAACTTATCTCAAAAATGACCTACAATCTGTTAACTGGGACAAGAAATGGCCTGTTAATTTTAACACCTCCAAAACAAAACTGTCCTCTTTTTAGAGAACCTTTTTTTGCCTTCAATCAGCATGGCTGACACTAGACTCCAGGAGAGTGACTCCTTGCACCTTCTCAGGCTAACATTTTCCACTGACATGAAATGGAAAGATTATATTGAATCAATTGCTAGGAAAGTTTTACACATAAGTCTATGATTTGTCCATGCTTCAGACATTGCTGTCATATATGGTCTGGTGCTTCTGCTATGCATTTATAGTTTCTTGATAAAATACAATGAAGAATCTGATATCTCAGCTTCATTCACTTTCCCATTGCTATAACATAGGTTCCCTGTACCTTTTTCTATATTTTCATGGTAATTGTTCTGATGAGCTTTCCTCTTTCGTACCTAGACTTCATAAATTTATGCATACTACTAAAGTGATGGCTAGGTGCTCATTATCTTACAGTTGAAATAGCTAGATGTAACTGTAACTTCTATGCTAACAATTTCTTTTCTTGCACTTCTCACTTGTGTAACTTGCTTCTTGCTTTCCAGTCAACTTTGATCTTCTAAAATTTAAATAAAATTTTAATCATTATCTTCTTAATTCCTGTTCTTTTATTATTCTCTCTCTTTAATAATGTTTTCTTTTTCTCATATTCTCTCACACTCAGTAATTATTTGTGTCTTAAATAAGACACTAAAATTTTACCTGGTTAAGGTTATAGAAGATCAATTAAATTTAATATCCATTATAAAAATCAATACTAAAAATTTTCTAACTTGTGCTTTCAAAAACAAGTAAATAAACTGTAGAAATTTAATGCAGACAAAAACATTCAAAACAACACAATAAAAAAATTAAACACTGTGAGACAAGGATTAGCAAGCTAGTCTTAGACCCTGATTACTGTAGTGATTCTGCAGACACCTTATATTTGTGGCCTTGTGCCACACTAAGTTGGTTCACTGTATAGTGCCAGACAATTTTTCTTGTCAGAAGCCATCTTGCACATTTATAAATCTACCATTCATCTATGCAAATAATATTGTTGCCATATATGATCTTGTATTCCTGCTATATATCTCAAGATTCTTGACAAAAACAAAAAAGCGTCTAATCCCAACCTGGCATCTTGACTTCAGTTACTTTCTCACTGACGTGCCTTCCTTCTGTCTTTTCTACAAATATTTTTCAATGGTAATTGTTCTGATAAGCTTTCCTCTTTGGTGCCTCGACTGTATGAAATTAAGCATGCTAATACATTGGTAACAAGGTCTCAACATTTTATTGTTGAACTAGCAAAATGTAACTATGTTCTATTCTAATAATTTTCCTTGCATTTCTCAACAGTGGAAATCTCTTCCAATTTCTTGCTTCCCTGTCTCTTCCAATTTTCAAAAAATTAAATGCAACACCAATCACTATCTTCTTGAATCCTGTTTTTTTTATTGTCCTTTCTCTTCATTAAAGACTTCTCATTCTCCTTCACTCCCAGTACCCCCAAAACTCTTTTGCATCTTAGTGGCATTATCACCTTGCTTGGGGGTAAATGATTAAAAAAAAAAAAAAAAAAAAAAATATACAGAATCCAACAAAAAGCTGCTTCATTAATATAGGCTTTCCAAAAATATTTCTATGCCACTTTGGTAGAGATCAAAACATTAAACAATACTCCAATACTTCTGAAGACAGATATGAAACATCTAAGTTCTGTTAAATGACAGTGTTCATTCATCAGCTACATCAAGAAAAGGGGTAAAAATTACCTGCTCTTTGAGGATCTTTCTCAATGCCAAAGCCCCCAACAAGAAACATGTGGGCTTGTGCTGCTAACAATTGATGCAAAGGGCTGTGCATGGTTGAGTCATATGCACCGGTGTTATCATTCTCTATACTTTGAATTGCTTGGTTGTACCAAAACATAGAAGTTGTCCAACATTTGGACCTGTCAGGGTGAAAAAGAAGAAAAGAATTTCAACTGGTCACTTATAGAAATCTTCCAATTTGACAAACTAACATCTAATGTGAGTTTCGTGTAAATTTAAATATAATTCATCTTAGCAAACTAGATGAACTTATTTTTATGGGATATGCATAATTCTCTAAAGAAAATGAATTTAAAGAAAATTAAAGATTAAAATGAAGAATTTTAAGAAAATTTGTTTATACAAATATCACAAAAACAGTTTACAGTTTACCAATACAAGTTTTGCATTCATATTTTGCTAATAGACTGCCAACTCCCTTTGTTTCTATATCTTAAGATGCTTGTGATTGATTGATTGTTTTTATGGCTTATCAACCTATTTTTAAGGTTATTTAAAACCAAAACACATTTTTGGCTTGTAAGAGTTTTGGAGCAGTGAGCAGGTGATAATAATGATTTTCTTATACTAGTTCTACTATTTAATCCATAGCTGAGAAGAGTTGGATTTATACCTTTCTCAGGTGAATATAATGAACCAAACTGGAATTCAAACTTGGCTCTCTGATTTTTCATTATGAGCCATTATTCATTACATCCAAGCTTACAGCACCTGATAGTCCTGAACAGTCACTCATCTAGATACTGACTAGGCTCAACAATTCTTACCTTTGGTGATCAGATGAGAACTAGTGTTTCAACAGGATATAGCCGTAGGCTTAAGATGCTTGTCTGTATCACCATATAGTTCACATGATTTTTCACTATTTATCCATAAAAAAAAAAATCATCAACACCATGATCAGGTGTGGTCATAGGGTCACTGACCAGTTCCCTCTACATTACCTGGGTTGACAGAGAGAAGGGTATTCATTTATGTGTAGTGTGTTTTGGGCAACTATTGATTGATTATTTTTAATGACTTATCAACCTTTTGCAGGTTATTTAAAGCCAGATTTTAGATAGTAAGAAGTTTTTGGATATAACAACAATTTACTGATACAAATCCTACTAATTAACTCATAGCTGAAGGGAGAAGAGGAGGTGGATTCATACATTTCCCAAGCGTATATGTGTGTAAGTGAATATAACAAACCCAACTGAATTCTGAACTATCAATTACATCACCCACACATCCAAGCTTACAGTACCTGATATTCCCAAGTGGTCACTCATCTAGGTACTGACCAGACTTGACATTGCTTAACTTCAGTGATCACATAAGGACCAGTGTTTCAACATGATATCTTGGACAACTAAATCTGGCCATTAATTCAATTGGGCGAACACTCCTGCCTGGCCATTGACCACCCAGCATTGGACTGGCTATATATCTCCAGAACCCAATCTACCCTTTGTACCATTATCCCAACAAAGTTCATCCACCCTTTGAGAGATCTTGTTTTTAATACTGCTGGGTGTCTAGCCAAACTCCTCACCAATGTCCTAACAATGCAGTAGGTTGTACAAGTGTTACATGCTACCAGTAGCACTCATAAAGTGACCTGACATAAAACCATTATATAGAAATTGATAAATACTGTAATGGAGAATCAGGTCAACTGGACAAGAAACCCAGAGTTGGTCATGTCCTCTTCCACAATTGGCTGTTGAGAGAGAGGACATTCTATTTATAGTAGATGGTGCTGACAAAATTTGCATATAATACTGGACAGGTGCCAATAGTCAGCATGGGTCTGGGACTGAGAGAGCTATATAACACCAGCTTTTTCTGTTGTGAGAGAGTGCTCTCAATGTGAGGAAAACCAGACAAGATGAACACAGAACCTCATTATTGAAAAATCACTAAATAATGATTTATTTCATGTATTATTAAAAATGTATAAATCACATGATATTCCAATTTTTTTTGAGTTTTAAGATAAAGTGTTTTCATTATTCCTCACATTTAAAAAAAATTATTCCTATCTGTTCTCTTTAGCAACAATTCCAGTGAATTCAACTAATTTCTTTCAATTTTGTGGGGAAAGTCCTAAGCATCTGTGAGGAAGCCAAAAAATATAACAAATATGAAGAAAACAGTCTAAAAATATATGGAATTCTTCAGATTTTATTCCAAAATAGTAGAGATTATCTATGGAGTTTCCAGCATTTATGCTAATGTAAATAAATTCACAATAATTCTTAGATTCTTACCGACAAGTTCCTAAACAATTTCCTGTTTCAAATGCTTTGGCAAGGTGAAGCATGGAATCCCGATCTCCATTTTCAGCAGCCAATGTCATGTATGTCAAGCCTTTGTCAATATCCACCTAATAATTAGAAGTTATTTCTAAGGAATTAATGAATGTTTTAATCTGACATTATTTCTTAATACTAAAAACATTATATTCAGTGGATACACAGGCTCACGTAGACATCAATTTTTGTTTATATTTCTGAAATGAGGTATTGTAACTATTTACACTATTTACATTGTTCAGACTGTTGTCCTCATCTTTATTGTCATATTCACAATGTTTTGGCTGTTGTATATCACCTGAAGAAGGCCAGTGTGTACAACGGCCAAAAAGTAAGGAAAACAGTTTCTTTTGTTTTTAAATAGTGTCATTGATTTTTGTCTAATTTTCTGGGATGAATTATTATTTACACTATTTATATTTAAACTATTTTCCTTGTCTTTGTTGTTGTTATCATAATGCTTCAGCCATTGTGCTTTCCAGCCTTCCTCAGGTGTATATCAATCTGGGTAACCCACAGGGAATTCTGAGTTCAATCCCAGGGTTGGGCAGTGTGTACTTGGACTCAGTGGAAACAGGCGAACAATAATTGAGCAGTACTAAAAAGAACTAGAAAATATCCCTAGACATGGGAAGGGGAACGAGAACTGTCTACCTCTGTAGATTAAATAAACGGTTCATTTCAGAATTCCCTGTAGGTTACCTAGATTGATATACACCTGAGGAAGGCCAGAGGGCACAACAGACAAAATGTTGTTATCACAACAACAAAGATGAGGACAATAGTCCAAAAGCAAGTAGTGTAAATGGTGTAATTGATGACTACCAGCCTGGTCAATCAAAAATCTTAGTACAGAATATGTGCCTCATATTATTCTCTTTTCATTTTCCAAGCTTTGGAAATATTCTATATCAGTATGAACCAGTCTTATTTATTAATAGCAAAGCATATAAAAATGATAATTTGCATTTTACTCAATCTGATATGTCTTAAAAGTACATTGAAATATCATTTTATTCAGATTATATCTGTGCTCAAATAAAACCAGACCGAACATTAATATTAAATGAAAATAATATCATGCGAGAATTTATAGTTTACATAAGAAATGTGCTAAAATTCTTTACAAAAGTGTATTGTAATTTGCATCCATAAAATATGTCTTAAATTGAATTTTAACATGAGATAATTAAATTATTTAATTATTGTTTTTAAAAAAAATCATTAAAGCAAGCTTAAGATAATTCTAAATATAATTTTAGACATATTTAAAGCATTAAATTTGCTTACATTGAACCAAATTGACAGGATTTACATGTCATTTTGTACTATACATTATGAACACTTACCTCCTGTGGACACTCAGTTAAAACATCTCTTGGAAGTCCAAGATAAAGCCTGGCCATAGTGATAAGAGCTTCCAATACACCCAATTCAGCAGCATGTTTCTCATGGAATAATGCTGAATCCCAATCAATGGGACAGTCAGGAGTCAGAAGGAAACGGCCAATTTCATGATATTTTGCCATTTCATGATGAATCTAAAAAAAAAAAAAAAAAATACAGAACTATCTAAATGCCATCCTCACAAGATAATGGTGTGTGGTAGAGTAATGTATACAATAAAAGCAAGTGGAACTATCAAATTTGTTTTTACTCATTGTTTTTCAGTATTATTTGGAACTTATGCTTTCTCTGTCAGACATTTTGTTTCATTTTTATCTCATCAAATCAGGGATAGGAAACAAAACAAAAAATGAATCTTTAGTGAAATCTAATGACTTAATGAAAATAACATTTCCATTCAAACTGTGTGGTGTTATTTACTCTTCATAAGTTTGGCAAAGGCATGAACCTATACTTCCCTAAATACAAAGTCTTATAAGTGCTACAGTGACTTATAACATTCAATATCATAAAATCTGTGTTTAATTTAAACCTCAATCTGAATTAAAGTATTTTTTTTAAAGAAGAGCATTTCCATGTAGGTTATGTGTCAGGAACATTTTTAATTAAAACCTTCAGCATAAATATTTTTACCTGGCCAAGAACAGAATCTTCAGAATTCATATTCAAATGACAAATATCTTTTTCTTTGATGACACAAGATGGCCGATGGCGCTTGCCAATTATTTCCGCAAATGCCAGCTTTTCTTCTTCCTGAAGAGGGAAAAAAAAAAATTCTAATTCAAAAGAGTAATGTAGACAGAAATCTTGAAAGAAACACTTCAATACTGGTACAGTTATACAATCCTATCAGGAATCCTGCAAACCAAAAATACCCACAAAGAAAAAAAATAAAAAAAATCTTTTTTTTCTTTTTGCAGCATACAAAAGAAAGATAACATCATTCAGATGGTATTTGTCTGGTCCCAAGAAATTAAATTGATATTTGTAGTATAGTTGATGTGAGAATAGACTTTGCACTCAGTGTCACACCACACCAAACCATCAAAGAACTCACATCAGTAGGTTCATCTGAGAGATGACCTATCTAACAAGTACAGATCCACATTTCACCCAATGTCAATTGCCACCTCTGACAGATGATCAACAAAACTACACCTAAGACGTGTATAAATGGTAAAAACCGTATGAGAGATAGATATACAAACATCCACCCAAGAGAGAAGAGAATATCAGACATACTTGCAAGGATCTATTGTGTTCACATTTGGAGAAGGCATTTCAGCTGTACTTATTAAGTGACTGATGACGTCCAGAATTAAATAAAATGCAATGTTATGAAATCTCTCAGATTCAATCTTGTGTTTTTTTTAGTCTGTATGGCAATAACATTACATACTGTATATATGTTTAGTGAGTTAAGTCTCAGACAGACTACTAGCTGTAGAAAAACACAGTAGTAACAGCGGATAACTGTAGATAAGTGGACACTGGTTAATGAAAATTGTATCTTTCCAAAATCAAACTTTTGTTATTTTATTCTTATAGAAAACAGAGGATAGTATAGATACCACCTTATGAGATGAAAATACCACTTCATATAAGGCAACTTCAAAGAAATATGTGCAAGCTTGGACCTTCATGCCTGAAAAAAAATCAGTCTGTCAAAAGAATGATTTTCCCCTTGACAATGGTATTATTTGAACTACCTTCACACACTGGCAATGTTTATTGTTTTAAAAAGTGATAATTAGAATTTTTATAAAACCTCCTAAATATATGAAAGTGGATTTGTACATTTTCTTTGTTCTTGAGAATTTATGACAAAAATAATAAATGCTATTAATTTATTACATTGTTTATTGGAATGGTTAGCAAAACATTGGCTAATTGCCAATCAATTTGAACTTTATAAAAATGATAAATAATAAGGATTTCTTTATATTTGGTTCTCATATTTTAATAATTTAGTAAATCTTTATAAATAAAATTTTTTTTTCCTATGTATTTCTTTTATTAATTGGTAAATGTTAATTATTGCATTAGCTTTAATACAATTGTATTAGTTTTTAGAATATTGTAAATATAAAATTATTCATGTAAATAAACAATCTAATAAATAGTTGTAAATTTTCAAGAACAAAAAATGTATAAATTCACTTTCATCATATGTTTATTATAACTCTAATCATCACTTTTTAAAACAATAAAAATTGCTGAGGAGTGAAGGTAATTAAAATAATAATGGCCTCAATGGAAAAACTGTCCTTTTGACACTTTCTTTTGTGGGCACAAATGTCCAAGTTTTTCAAAATACAAACCTGTCGCATCCCCCAGTTCAGCAACCAGAAGTGGATTAGATCTCTTGACTGATAATAGTTTTGTTAGTTATTGCTATGTACCAGTGTTTATCAATTCTAACAAAACTTTTAATCTTTCAAATATTATGTATATATAATACAAAAAAAAAAAACTCAATAAAACAGTTCTGAAATACTTTCTTGTTGCTTTATTCATTGCTTTTGCACGTTAATTCTCTTAATGTTCATTTGCAGAAACACCATCATGATGGCCTATGCTATTATGTTTGGTTACCTAGCAACCACACTAGTTTGGCACCTTTTTCATTGGCATATCACCATTTTGAATTCAACCTAACATCATAGCACCTTCATTTGGTTTCCTTCCAAATTTCTGGATTTACGTAACAGCATGCCACTTCATTTTCAGCATGCTGCCATTTTTGGATTTTTTTTTTTACCAGTACCAAGTCATTACATTCAAATGATTTCTTTCGAGTTTAACTTCTTTCATCAGGGACCATAACATGGTCATTTTTCTGGACTATTAATTTAACCACATGTGCATATCTTATTTACACACTCACACTTTAGAACATTTTTATGTGTTTTTAATATTTCACCCTTTACAATGTGGTGACTCCTTTGAGTTCTTACAAATCAACAAATATTTTAAGACATTTTTTATGTTTATGCGTTCTTAAAATAATTGTCGGACTTTGTCCATTTCATAATGTGTGAAATCAACAAATGTACATATTTGTAATTAAGTTGTTGGTTGTTTACCAATAATAAAACTTTGGCCTTTTTATTAAGAACTCTACCTTTGTTATAACTCAGTTTCTGGTGACAATATTTTCTTGTGTATTCTTTGTAATAAGAATTCCTGATAAAAAACAGCGACCACTCAGTGGGCCACTACAAACCTTAGATTAAAAATATCTCAAAAGCAATATTAATGGCTCACAATTAGTTGTAAAATTCAATTTCAGTTCTGATGAATATAGATCCCGTTTAAAAAAAATTCATATGGTCAAGTGAAACAAATATTTTTAAAAAACCAAAAGGAAAACCTATACATTTTTTTAAATTTCAGAAATAGTCAAAATATGAGGACTGCTGGTGACTAATTAAAATTGTAATTATGTCTTAAAATAAAATTCACTTACTTCAGTCATAGAAGTTTCTGATTCACTTGTGAAGCGAATTCGAGGTGATCGTAAAAGGTTTAGAGGGCTTCCAATAGACATGGACTCATCATCTGTGCTGTTGCTGCTGCTATGAGAGCTTTTACTTCTGGCAAGTAAATTGGTCAAATCATGTTGTTCCAAAGGTGAAGCACAAATCACCATTTCCTCATTTCCTCGAACCTGTGTCAGGGGACTCATTGCCTAAAAAAAATTTTTTTCTTTTACAAATTTATTGTTTTATATATTATATTATATAAAAGAAATCCTTAACTGTGATTTTTTTCTGACTCTAAAGTTTCAAAGGGTTAATTTCCACTTGTAATTCATAAATGTAACTGTTTTTCAATTGTATATTTTGTAATTTTTATTTTTCATTGTTATTTTTGTTTGTATGTATATCTTTGTTTGTTTTTTATATATGTGTGTATTGTATTGTGCTTATTATGCATTATATTATTATTATTTAATTTATATTATTTTATTTTCTGCTGTATTTGTTATATTAGTATGTAAGTTGCAAAGTGATTATTTATTAAAATGTCTGCATTTACCCATTAATTCATTTTTCTTGTTTAATAATTTAATTTGATTATTTAAATTTATACAAAATTTTTCTTCTAAACATAGTCTACATTTTCTATTAATATTATATGGAGGTACTTTTTTATGATTTCCCATTTAATTTTAGTTGATATATTTTTTTTTACTTCATATATAGTTTGATAATGTATTTTTATGTATCAGTCTATTTTAAATAACATTTTATGATTATTGAAAGTTGTTTCAGTTGCTCCTATGTAATTTTTTTCTTCTGTGTTAATGTTATTTGATGCAGTTGTTTTATATATTATATTATTAATTAGACATTTATTATTAAGTAGGCAGTTTTTAGTTTTGAAAATTACAATTATTGTTGTTATTTTGCAGGTTTTTGCCATTGTAACTCCTATTATTTTTTTAAATATTTTTTATTATGTTTATTTATTTTTTATCCATATTATTCATACAAATGTAACTGATTTTAATTATATTTTTATTAATGATTTTTGATAGTTTACTATTTTTAGGGAAATGTTTTTCAGTTAACTTAAAAATATTTTTGTATTTATTATAATGTGGATTAAATCAAATTATATTTCTTTTATTTTTTGTATGTCATATTGTTATTTATGTATTCTAATTTATGTGCATAACCACTTTTTCTTAATGCTGAATCATATATTTTTTTATTTTCATTAAATATTTTTATATTGCTAGAATTAGTTGCAATTCTTTTATTAATAGATATTGGTATATGCTTAAATACATTAGATGGGTGATTTGAATTTTTGTTTATATATATATAGGATTATTATATAAGTAATGATAAAAGTGTTTCAAGGTGCAACATAAAGTGTTGTTATAGATCCAGAACTATGTCAGCTGCAAAAGATTCACATGAAAACTTGAAAAGTGCATTTCAAAATATTTTAGACCAAAAGAAAAATTGGGATGAAGATGCACTAGGTGAAGCTGATAATCTATTGGTCAAATTTAACAAATTCAATTCCATACTTTTCATAATCTGCTTTTATAAAGTTTTTGAGAAATTGTTTGGCACTTTACAATGTAAACAGCTGGATTTAAAATATGCTCAGGATAAAATAAATGATTTTATTCAGTATATTGAAAATTAATGCAATGAAGAAGAGTATAAAAATATTAATTGAAACAACAATGCTTGAAATTGAACATTTGAATGATTCTGACACCTGTCCCCCTCTTCCAAAAAGAACTATAAAATGATTTATCTGGAAATATTTCAAATTATTTTAATGTCATTAAGGAAGTGGTTTGCTCACATTGAAGAATTTCAATATTTTGAACTATTCAATATGAAATATTTGCAGATAATTTTCCAATGAAGCACATAACTTTACAATGCAAATAGTCGAATTTACTTAGTAAATACTAATTCTTTAGTAAATGAACTGAAACATTTGTACCATGACAATGAATTTAAAAAATGTGAGTCAAGTCATGTCATTTTGAAATTACTTCATAAACTGAGGTTGTTATCTGTAATGCCAGAGACTGTAAAATTGATTCAAATTTTCTAATCATCCCTGTCATGTCTGTTGAAAACAAAAGTTTCTCAATCTTAGACAGAATTTTGTTTATTTTTAAAATGCACAATGGCTAAAGAATGCTTATCTTCACTGGCTCATATTATGATTGGGAAGCAAATTCTTATCAATTTAGAACTGCAAAAATAAATTACACAAGAGTTTGCAATAAAACCAAGGTGCTTTATTTTTTTTTTTAAATTAAATTTGTGTATGTCTACATTTTAATGTATAAGTATTAATTAAATGTATTGCTGATTTTACCAGGATTGGGGAGTCAGGTACAAAAACATCTGACTGATTCCAAATTTCCTTATACCAATAACTGACTCTGGATATAAAATGTTATCATCCATAATATTGTTATTGATTATTAAAACTATGCTTATTGTTTAGTGTATGTACCTCCACTTTTTCAGCATAAATTTTTCAATACCTAAGGTTTAAAATGAATTTTTAAAAATGAAAAAGCATTCTTGAAGATTTCATTTTAGCTTTAATTGAAAACTAAAGGATTAAATTTATTATTTCCAGTAAGTAAAATATTCTGGTGTATTTCAGATAGAAATTATATAGATTGGAATGTCAAATTTAATTTTGATTTCTTAAAATTTTCTTAAAAGCAGCCATTTTCTTAATTTTAAGAAATTTGTAAATTTTAAAACTCTTCCAAAAAAAAAAAAAAAAAAAATATATATATATATATATATATATATATATATATATATATATATATATATATATTATTTTTCTGACACAATTTCTATTTCAAGTTAAAGTTAAATTAATCTGATTTGGAATAAATATGATTTATAGCATAAAAAAGTAATATACAACCATTTCCTCATGATTGGCCCTATTTATGTGATCAGCTAGTTGATGTATGATTGAGTTATGAAGTGATGACAGCTAGTATGGATGACCAAAATTGACATAAATTCACAAAATTTAAGTGAACATTTTTTTTTTGGTTTTAACTAATAATTTTTACAAACGAACATATTTTCCACAATTATCTAATCTTTACCTTTCAAAGATGCAAAAATGAAAAAATTTAAAATACTATAAAATTTTAATTCATTTTATAATTTAATAACAGATGAAATACCATGATAGAGGTTAACTTAATTTATGAAATATGGTAATTTAATTATTATTAATTTATATTTTTTTTTTTAATAACTATTGTTATCATGAAAATTATTTTATTATCAAATTTTATTATTACTTTAAATTTTATTATTAACCCAATAAACAATATCGAAAAGAAATTGCTATGTGTAACTGGGAAAAGACTTTCGGGAATATTTTATTATTATTTTTCTTCTGCCTCTTCAATCATCATTGCTGGGCTGACCGAAATACAAGTCCTACATGAGATAGTTAGCGCCAATTTCACATTTGTTTAATTGACAACAGTCAGCTTCATCATTGAGATATGAAATTGTATAAAAAGGATTTGCATAACTAATGATGTAGCCGACATATTCATGGTAGACACCATCAATTGTCCAAATGTGTTTGATTGTATGTCCAACTATCTGCCCAGTGAGTATTTCATGCAGGACTTGTGCTAACTGTGGCTGATACTCATCCAGTAAAGTCAACATTAGATTATGTGAATTTGTTATAATAATGCCAAGTTCAGCCTACCATAAATGAAAAGGAACATATTAAATAAAAAAATAAAAAATAATTTTAAAAATAGAATAGTAAAACTATGTTTATTAATCTTTTCAGTTTTGGATTCGTAAATTTTATTTCTACTTAATTATTTTATCGCATCCAGGAAATAGCCCAATACAGAATTTTACATGATTTTTAAACTAATATAACTTATTTACAAAAACAATTAAAAGCTTTTCTAATTAAATAATGTTATAATGCATTCATTATTCTTCAATTCAGAGCAGATTTTCAGTTAGAATTGTAAAAGTTAAAAGAAAAAAAGAAAAGTGATTTGCATTCTTCAAGGAGTCCTACTTTTAACAAATAAAATAAATTCAGAAAATAATTTTTGATTTGTAAATGTACTTTTCACTTAACAATATCACCAAACCACTACCTTGAAGCAATGCAGAATTTTAAATGTTTTTTTTTTTTTTGATATATTTTTTTTATTTTTTTTTAATATATTTTTTAATATATTAAAAAAAATATAAAAAAAATATATCAAAAAAAAAAAAAACATTTAAAATTCTGCATTGCTTCAAGGTAGTGGTTTGGTGATATTGTTAAGTGAAAAGTACATTTACAAATCAAAAATTGAAAAGCTTATATCAGTAGTTTGTACCCAAATATTTTTTTAAAAACATTAAAAATTTAGTGTACATACATTCCAAATTTCTAACTATGGTAAGCCAGCTTTTAAAAACCTTTAAAAGCTCACATGATTTAAGAGTAGTTTGGCATTCTGCAATTCTTTCAATTTCAATATTCAGTTCTGTTTCATCATTAAAGTCTTTGAAAATCATCATTTCCAAATTTCAAGTTTTACTTTTTTAATTACTATTTCACTAAATATTTTTATTTTATGTATTTATTTTAGTTTGTGTCATAATTCAATTAAGTAATTTATTTTTTAATTTAGTAAACTTAAGAACCCAAATTTCATAAAGCATCTTGAAACCCTAACTAAAATCAATAAAATATTAAATAATTGCTGAAAATATATATGTTTATTTGTAAAAATTACTAGATAGTAAAAAATAAAAGAAAAAAAGTGTTCACTTAGATTTCATAAATTTACATCATTCTGGGCTTCCATACTAGCTGTCATCACCTTGGAACTTATCGATACATCAATAAAGAGCATAGAAAAACAAGACCCATTATTAAAAAATGCTTGTATATTATTTGCTATATATATAATCTCTCTCTCTCTCTATATATATATATATATATATATATATATATATATATATATATATATATATATATTATATATTAATTAGTAACTTTCAAATTTAGGCATTTAAATTCTCTATGTATTAGTTTTCCAATCCTATCAATTTTAAAGTTTGTAGACTACCTCACAACTATAAGGCATCATCCCTATATAGTCCAATGTCTTTAATATTAATTTCAGTGTGCACTCAGATTATATAAAATAAATAAACCAACAAGATTGGAAGACTCTGCAGATTCCAACAATCCCATTGTGATATCAAAATGAACTTCAGAATTTTTTATCCACTGTTCACTATTGTGAATGAGAACAGGTTTTTTTGCATTCATAATTATGTTGCTTTCTTTGTCAGATAGACCAGAGTATAGAGTAGCAACTTTCAGGGCGGCTGTGAAAAGTTCCCTTGATATTGATGGGTAGTATTCTTTGATGTCGAACTGTATTAGGGTACAATTTGATTTATCCTTAATATTTGGAAACCAATTAGTGACTTCTTTGGTATTAATCCGTTGTGTTAATCCCAGGTAATCCTTAATTCGTTAACTCTTTCCTGGATTTTTTAAACTAATTTTACCAATCTCAGGCAGGATTGGATTTATAATTCTGGTAGTAGGATTAACCTCAAAATTGGTTTTGTGGTCCTTGATGGTAATATAGCAATCCTTTTTCGTAAGTTTACCAACTATCATTAATTTTTAATTTATCTATGATTTTCTTACTAGTCAATTTATACTTTCTACCATATTAACATTATTGTTATTATTATTAGTTTTTTATAGTCCTTTGTTAATTTTTTTTTTTAAACTAGAGTCTTTTGCTGCTAATTTGTAAAAATTTCCAGTTTTATCAGACTTCACCAATATTTTATCTGTTTCATTTATATCTTAATATTTGGTCCAGATGTTTTTGGAAGTAATTTTTCTTTTTACAGGAAAGAGATATTGTTTACTATATCAAGTAAATCATTTTTGAACACAAATAACCTTTTGATAAATGGTGCAGTTTTTTTTGCTATTAAAGCCATAAACCTCAAAAATAAAATAGTTTAAAAATGCATAATTAAATTCTAATATTTTAATTTTACAATACCATATATAGTTTATTAGTAAATATAATAAATATAGTATTTTAGATCCTTATAAATAAAAATATAATATCTGAAGGCCCCTTTAAGAAAAATTTGATGTATTTTACAAAATAAAAAAAATAAATAAAAATGACAATTGCAGTATAATAAAAAACAGACTGTGATGACACGTTTGTATAAAAAGAAGTCAGTATCAACAGACAGAAATTTCAAACCCACACCTAACCTTAACCAATTTTCACTTTGCCACCTAAAATTATACTTGTATCTTAATTCATAAACCCCCACTTAATTTTTAATATTTTGAATCCTCATTCCCTCACCAACTTAAAGTATATAATACTATTTAGCTTACAGAGTAAATCAAATTTTTAAAAAGTTATTCAGCATCGCTTGAGAATGAAACTGAACTTCAAATTTTAAGCTTAATTTAAGATTTAGGTTTCGAAACATGGTAATTTCTGTGTCGTGATGAATACATATTTTAAAATAATAATTATATATATACACACACACACAATTTTTTTTGCATGGAGGATACGTTCCAGAGACTACCATATAAAAAAAATATAGTGTACATATGAAAATTAGAGATACGTTCTATCCAAATAACTTTAATAAAAGTAAATGTTAATTTTCATATACAAATAAACTGAATTTTATATATATAACGTAATGATTCAGTCATTCAGTTTTACTATTAAACAGTAAACATGCCTGCTTTCTGTTGTTTTTCAGTGGCGCAAAATCACTTGTCACTGGAAATATTTAATGGTGATATATCTTCATGTGTATCTTGAATAAAATTAATATCTTGTGTTTCTTTTGTTTCACTAGTTTTGAATACAAATTCGTTTATCAGATGCAATGATTTTGTTTTTGTTAGTTCTTTATATGATTCTGCATAACATGCCATAATCATTTTCAAATCATGTTGGAATTTCACAGCTCGCTCAACATTGTTATCATTTGTAAGAAAATAATTTCTAAGTTTATGAGCTATTTGCGACCTTCTAGATGCCCACCCACACTGGAGAGTGGGGGATTACTATATAGAAAAAATAGGTTGGGTACTATTTTACTTTGCTAAACTGTTTACTTAATCATGTTACATAGAGTTTTGGCATTTTGTAAATTATAATTGATTGATGTTACTTAATCGTTTACTTGCCACTTGCAATAAATTAATCAAAATTAGTGCAAAAAAAATAATCAGTTCTTTTTGTTGGACCATGTTATTTCAAAACCATGCAAAGAGAGAATTGAGTGTATATATAAATATGAATTAAATTAATAAATATAGATGAAATCAACCACACATGTATGCAATCATGCACATATATAAATTTGCAAATAAATATTTTATTCAATTGATGGTGTTAAGAAAACAGTGGTAATACAGAGCTATTAAATACATATTAATAAATGTACATATTACCTTATGCCAAAAGTATGACTCGGAGTTTCATTACAAGTACCTGAAGATCGTACTGAACATGAAAATTAAGTCATACTTTCGATGTAAGATTATATGAAAATTAATAACAAAGTGGGGAAAAAATGTTTAATATCATGCATTTCATCTTTTAGGACTTCATTGTCTTCTCCCCTTTCTGTGCATGTGTAATTATATCAACATAAACATCACATAAGTCTGATGAAGTTTTAAATAATGAAATGCATCAAAAAAAATTTTTTATGCTTTGTCATTAATTTTCTGGTATATAAAAATTTATATATCATTTTCTCCCATATTATTTAGCTGATTTAGTTACCAATATTGAAACATTTAATACTTTTTTTGAATCAAGCTTTATAACATTTTAAAAAAAATGTCTGCATATACAGGGTCAAACAAAGCTTATTTACAGAAGCCATTTTATGCTCTCAGCAAAATAAAGTCAATACACAAAGTAAATGAAATTAAAAACAAAAAGAATGAAAAAAATGTCCTTACCATTATGGAAGTTGGGTTAACCAAGTTTCTTCTTTCAGAAAGATAGAGATCAAAGGGTGAAAGGTTGAGACCATGGCAAATGGAATTGCAGCAATGAGAATGGAAGAATAGCGCCATTCCTTTTGGACCAAGATTACCATCACCATATTCAATGCCATCAGCAGTATGAATTTGAGGGTCAGTATAAAGATCACCAACACCTTGGATGTCAACTACAATCAGCTGATGGCCAGAGCGCTCAAATGTAAAATGGCTGAATGCCTGTGAAAATAATTAACATTATGTCAATTTATTTTCAGTGCCTGTGAAAATAAAAATAACATTTTATTTTTATTAAGGCATTATGTCTACACACAATCCATCATTGGACAATTAAAATTTAATAACTATTACATATATTCAGATAGTAAATGGACTGCCCTAAAATATAAGTTCAGTACAAAAAATGATTGTACAGTAACTGGAGTATAAGCTGATCCTGATTTATTTCCCCTGAAAAAAAAAGTATTTTGACTAACATTCACATATACATAAATAAATTATAATTATGACAATAAATTACTTATCTTGAAATCTTCTCATCATGAGATGAAAGTATTTTTGATTTATTTTCATATCTCATATCTATATAATATTAAAAGTTTAATCTTGTATATGTTCCTGAGATACAGCTAAAACTATACATAATACCCCAACAAATTTAGGAGAATATTGCAGCTTGAACCCCTGCCAAACGCAGTGACAAATTTCATTAAAATTAGACAAGGAGTTCTTTAGCTAGGGCCGTTTTTCTGTTCTTATAGTATTTTTAATAAGAAATTCAGTATTTGTTTTCGATATACATTCTTATATCAATCTGCGTATGTAAATAAACACTTGCATATTATATTTCAACTATTATTATGTGTATAAAAAATAAAGATTCATGATACAATATAACATTAAATAAATTTAAATATGCATAACACAACTTATATTTATATAATTTACTAAACTACATTAGAACTTATTTTTTAAATGACTTGAATGGAGAAGAGGCTATATATGTCACATGACCTGATGGTAAATAAATAGATTGATGCTGGTTTGAAATAAATGTGAGAAAGAAACATGTATGTATAATAAAAAATATATTTATTATTTTGAAAAAGACTACACCTGTTTTGAGCTATTACTCAAAATTTTCATGTAATGTGTTAACTATAAACCCAGTGGAACAATAAAATTTTTTTTAGTTTTTAAATACAAGTTAAAATATGTAATTAATAATAAAACTAATATTGTTACCTCATCATTTTGTATCATGAACTGTCTTTAAAAGAGACCCAATAGGTTTATAGCTGGTCTAGTTTTTCTTAAGATGACAAAATTATTTGAATTTGTTTCTTTTTTTTTGTTTTTTTTTTTAAGTCATTAATAAAGATAATACATTTTATTTATTATTAGTGGCAATGTTCTATCTTTCAATATCACAACTGTTTGAGGTTTCCTATAGCCCCACTGAACTTAAATAAAGTCAATTCAGGTTCCTATGATAAAAATTTTCTTTCCCAAGTGAAAATCATCACAAAAATGGCAATAGTCATTTTGTCACAGCTTATTTTCTCTCAGAAAATGGATTTTCATACTTTTATAGGGGTAAAATATTGAAAAATGACTGTTTTATCATCACCTAAACTAATATCAAGGAAACTTTTGATCTGAACCCCATGAAACTAGGTATTTTCTGAAAGCAAAGGATATATTCTTTCATTTAAAAGTAAAATTAGTTGGTGTAAATGATTCAAAATTTTTTTCAGTGGGTAAAATGTGAAAAAAATAGTGAAAATTTTGCATTTTTTTCTTGTTCTAAACAAATATTTCCTCCATTAATGGGAAATTAACCATTTTTTTTTTGAAAATCAGAAAGCCTAAATCATAATCAAACTATTTCAGGCATAAAATTGAGAGTTTTGAAGGAAATCAACATTCCTAGGGGTTCAAAATGCAACAAAATCCATTGGTAATTTTCAATTATATGACTGCCAAGGGTTAAAAAAAATTGACACCCTGCCACGGAAATCTTTAGTAAATACAAAAAGATTTATCTGCAATTCCTAACCACCAGAAACCAAAAGTTTTTTTTTTTCCAAAAAATAGCATCGATAAGGAAAATTAAACCTAATTGACTTTGACATCTAGGTCAAAGGTCAGCTAGCCAGCAATAAATGGTAAACCTTAGAACAAGTTGTAATAAAACCCACCACTTCCAGATAAAAGCAAAGAGTGAAAAAAAAAAAGTTCAACATTACTAGGGCTTGATATAACCTATGTTTGAACAATGGCTTGATGAGTTTTGTTTTGTTTTTAACACCCCGTGACCCAGGTGATGACAACAACACTTAGCAGACAACATTGTTTTTTTCGCCGCATTTCTTTCGTATTTCCCATCACCGGTCCATTTAGCCGTTCCTTTTATTCAATGATGTTCATGCCAAATGAAAGAGAAAGGAATGAATTTTGAATGATGTTATTTTGAAGCAAAAATAAATATTTTTTCATAAAAAAAGGGGATTTTTCTCAGAAAATTGGGCATAATTTCTTAATGCTAACCGCTGAGTGACATTTTCCACAGCCAAATCGAAGATTAATTACCAGTGAATAATTCCATGTGCAAACAATAGCCGTCTGGATCCTATAACGTCGCCCTAAAAGGTCCAGAAGTTTACTAATTGATCGAAAACCTGTTGCGCATAATTGTATTTTCACGGTCAGTTTCCATTATTTCATCTTGATATTACCATTTTCGGACAGCCAAGTCATCAAGGATTCAGGAAAACAGTTTGGCATAGGTTTTCTTTAAGAACATTATATTCTATGAGGTGTTTAAAATGTTACTGACGAATGAGATTTTTTGCCGAATATTTAATTTACGCGGCATGTTGGATTTTCCTATATGACAAAAACAAAGCTTTTAAACAGCCGTGATATGTATTGAGTACTGTAATATGATATTGAGCATGGTTTGTCTTTAAAAAAAAAAAAAAAAAAAAAAAATTTTTTTTTTTTACAAAACATTCTTTATCAAATCCATGAACACAAATGAGTGATAGAAATGGGGTTTATTTATTTATCAACATGTGTATGGGAATCAAAACCTTTTTACATTAAATCGAAACTACTGGTATATTACTTTTTTTTTTTAGATTTCTATTTTTCAGTATTCAGAAAAAACCAAATTCTGTTTACCTGTGGAGTTAAGCGGAGATGTTCATCGACATAACCAGAGTTTGAATTATATTTTGTGTAGTCACCCTCGATGAAATGTTCCAAGTGATAAATGGGTTTTTCTGCACGTTTATGGAACTCCAAAATGTACATCTGGAAGATATCCACCTGAAAACAAAAAAAATAATGAAAGGCACATCATAAAATGAGAAATTAGATAAGTTTTTTTTCCTCTCACTTTTAAGTTAGTTAAATTTATTAGACACTAACTGCAATTCAAAATTTTCTGAAATTTTTTTCTTTTTACTTCAAAACAGATTAGTTCTGTGCTTAATAATATTGAAAGTAAAACTCAATGGAATATACAGCTTAATTGTAATTCTACTGATCTGTACAACATTCACACTAATAGATTGTGAAGGATGTATGAGTAGTTTAACAATTAGTGGCTCAGAAAGAGAAATGGATGAGCTGAGTTTGAATTCTGGCTGTGTTCATTACATTCACTTTCATACAAATAGCCTCGCAAAAGGTATTAATCCATTTCTTCTACCTCCCACCTCAAAAGTATGAGTTAAATAGAGAGACAGATTGGACTCCCAGGATGTAACTCTGGCAACTGCATATACTATACAAAAATTGAAAAGATTATAGAGATCAAATTTAACTATGGCATTGGGGTTGTGGATTATCATTTCAACTGAGGTCAAATTAAAAAGAAAAAAAGTTTTGAATTTATCTATTGTGCACATATAACACATTACATGTAGTGTTTACATCTCCTCTTACATATTTTTTTTTATTTCATTTATAAAACTTAAAAATTAAAAATGTTCCAATTTCTTTACTAAATTTTAAGATAGCAAGGTAAAGTTTTTTTTAGTATAAAGAGTGCATCAAACCTTTTTGGGAGGATTGTGCCGATTGTATTCTTCTCCCCACAACTTGGTATCCATTTGCAGCTTAACATCTTCAAAGTAGACATCTCGACTGACATCTTCAAAATAACGCTTGGCCACATAGTTTTGGGCATGTTTCCAGTCATCAGAATGTGTGAAATTAGACAGTTTTTTCCTGTCATGGGAAAAAAAAAATGTTTATAACTCATATGTATGCAAATTATCTTATGACAATCAGTCATTGCAACAAGGTAAAATCTTTAATGCTGATTAAAAATAAACATAATTCAGAGCATGTCACAAATGTAAAAATTAAAAATGTATGATATTAGAAGTTTTGTGGGGAATTATCATTTTTAAGCAAAATGGGAAAAAAAAAAAAAAAAAATTAAAATTACCACATATTCAATTTATCTATTAGTTTTATTAGTGAGTGCTGATGGTAATAAAACAGTACTAAAAGCAGAGTTAAAATTTATACTAATAATAAAAATACATTTTGTTCCTCACTTGTAGCACAGACTAAACTGGGCAAATGAAATTTTGACATGAAATAAAATTTAACCAAACTTGCCTCACAGTCCATAGAGAGTTTGATCATTACAAGGTGCCCCACTCCTAACTTGTGGTTTCATACTAAAAATCACATCAGTTAACTTCATATACATTAAAAATGAATAAGTGTAAAATTTAAAATGAAATGACAAAGAAAACACTTACAATCTAAAACATTGTCTCATTGCACCATGGTTGAATGACTGCAAAAAGAAAATCAGATTGATTTATTTTTTTCATGTCTAATTGAAATATGTATTCAAATTTTAAAAATTTACTTGTAAAAATCTAAATAGAACAGTAGAATACAGTAAGCATTTGAATATATGCTAATTAGTAAAGTTGTTCTGAAAGTCGAGCCCTTATATTTACTTTTTCCTTTTATTCTGTTTTTAAAAAATATGACAAGTGATTGTTTCTATTTTTAATGCTTCAATTTAGAATTTATTTCTATTCATTTTACCATATTACTTATTATATTGGTATAAAAGAAAAATCAAAACCATTATAAAAATACAATGTAAGTACAGTTTAAACTCAAGTAAAGAAAACAAAACTTACTACATCTTCCATTTTGACTTGAACTAGATCTTCAGACCATTTTTTCTTCAAAGCATTGTACCTATATCGGATGGCTGATTCCACTTTCAATTCTTCGAGGTGAAACTTTTCCCAGGGGTCTTCAAGTGTCTTGATCTTAAGCATAGCATCTAACCAGTGACGACGAGCACTGGACATGTTATGATCCTTCAGCCTGTTTTGTGTCTGGCTAAGCAAGTTGAGATTCAGACGTCCTTCAGCTTTGGACAGTCTCCGTTGACGCAGTGACATAAGTGCCTTTGGACGACTGTTATTAAAGTTGTTTTTCTGAACAGCATCCTCATGTTCATTTTCGGAATCTGTCTCCAAGAGATCAGTAATAGGGAAAATGCAAATCTCACTGTCGCTATCTGAGAACGACATGATGAAGGCTTTAATAAAAGACGACAACAGAAGAGAAGAATACTGAGTCACAGATGATCAGTAAGTGTTTGAGGAACTGGGCAGGATCTGACTGCAATGGCTTAAAGAATTACCTCAGAGTTGGTAGTGGACGGTTGTCAAGGTTTGTGACCCAAATATGATGATGGCCCTTAAAGTCCGTCTAGTAGTCTGGCTTGAGACACTCTCAAAAGAATTAAATAAAGCAGTTTTCTGAAATTCAAATAAATAAAAAAAAAATATTATTTTTAAATTTAAATTGCACATGAAAGCATATAATTACAGAAATCACTTATATTTCAATCATAAAAGCAGAAATGAAAAATGAATATTTAAAAATACAAAACAAAAATACACATGCTTATTAAATTTAAAGAATTAAAAAATTAAACTGTAAAATACAAGAGGAACATTTTTTAATAGTTCAGGAGTTTAAAAACAAGAATTTTAAAAATCTTATTTTGAAAGAAATTAAACAATTGTAGTAAATGTCATTTTTTTAAAATGTTTATACCCTTATGTATAATACAAATTAAAAAAGTTTTTTCTTTATATTCTTTTCTTATAAAGCTTCAAGCATATTCTTCCAGAACCATAATTGTTACACAAGATAAAAAAAAAATATTCTTTTTGAAATCTCTAAGTATATTGGAAATTGAAACATTTTAACTGCTTTAAACATTTTAGAAAGACCAAGCAAAAAATAGACAGAGAATAAGATCTGAAAATCCAGACATTATATTCATAAAAATAAGAAAAGCATCAAATGTTTGAAGATTATTCAGCTGAATTTTACAAAATAGGAAATGCAGAGATGAAAGAAAATTTAGAAACTTTTTTTATTACACTGTCAAATAATAACTGACCAGTGACTATTTGTAAACAAATACCATTTAACTATAAAGTAGAATATGTAAGTAACAGAAGTTGACAATCAGTTAATATATTGAAAAGAATTATAAAAACATACCATGTTCAACATCTGATAGTATTAAACAATGACCATGACATTACAACACAGAAGAAAAAATTCCATAGTGGATAATTTTTTCACATTCTAATGAACGCTAAGCATGACTGTCAACTGTTGCATTTGAAAGCAAAAAGAAAAATTACAGTAATGGATATCAAAAAAACAGTTTTGTATTACTACATGCACCCCTAAAGATGATCTCGGAATAAGATCGAAAATACTTGGGAAATGGAAAATAAAAACTATTTTCATAGTTATAGCACATTTCTCATATCGTTTAATTGCAATACACAGAAAGTTATGTGGGAGTATGAACGAATTTTATTAAAAATAATCAGATGTAATGTCAGTTATATATATATATATATATATATAAAAATGGTGGAAAAGGCGGTAAAGAGAATTTTTTTTATTTCATTATTCACTATTAATTGTTCTTTCAGGCAAGGGAAATAACTCCGCATTTGTAAAACGGAGTTATTTCCCCTTAAACTTAAAAAAAAATAACAACAAACAAATTAAAAAAAAAACAAAAAATTACCATGTCCCATCAGAACCTGGATTATCATAACTCATCATAGATACCTTTTCTTTATTATCTGTGAATTGCTATGACTTCTTGATAGTGGAGTAGTTTACTGTTACCTTCTTCACGGTTTGAAATTCTAAGTTTTCTTTCTCCTATCATAGCTACCGCCCAATTTAGAGAGCACAGTGTACCAAGCTAGTTAACCCACACCTGGAGAGAAGAGATGGATTTATGCTTTTTCTAAGGGCATTTCATTTGTATGAAAATGAACGCAATAGACATGGCCAGAATTTAAACTTTACACATCGATATCCATTGTGCTACTTGCACGTTAACTTGAGATGTATCTACACAGAATTAAAAGGTTTCCATAATCACAGCCCTTCAAAATAACGGTGAGGCTCGTGCCGTGGCCCTCGACATCTCCAAAGCATTTGATAGGGTTTGGCACGCCGGCCTTCTTCGTAAGCTCCAGGTGTATGGTGTTACTGGTCATCTGTTTGATCTAATACAATCATTCCTGTCAAACCGAGAATTGAAGGTTGTTCTCAACGGATTCTCCTCCAGTTCCTATCCCACGAACGCAGGTGTTCCCCAAGGCTCCATCCTTGACCCCACTCTTTTCTTTATTTTCATCAATGACCTTCCTGACGCTATAGATTCCCAAGTTGGCATCTATGCAGACAACACTACAATTTACTCCTGCCTCAAAAACAAATCTAGTGTCAGTGACAAAACTAACCCGGCCTTGCGTCTTGAAATGGACCTCCAATCGGTTTGTTAACTGGGGCAAGAATTGGCTGGTCAACTTTAACGCCACAAAAACTAAATTACTCTCCATTAACCACCACAAAGATCCTTCCCTGCCCCCATTAAAATGTCTGATAGTCAACTTCCTGAGAGCAACTCCCTGCATCTGCTCGGTCTCACGCTGACTGCTGACCTGAGATGGAACAAATACATTGAGTCAATTGCTTCTTCCACTGGGGAATGTTGGCTCTCTGTGCCGTGCCAGGAAATTTTTCTCCCCTGAATCGATACTTCAAATATACAAAATAACCATTCGCCCTTGCATGGAGTATTGCTGCCATATATGGGCTGGAGCACCTTCTGCTTGCCTCGGAGTTCTTGACAAGATCCAGAGACGGATATGTAATCTAATTGGCCCTGACCTAGCCTCTCATCTGCAGTCACTCTCTCACAGACGCCCATCGCCTCTCTCTGTCTTTTCTACAAATACTTCCATGGTAACTGCTCTGATGAGCTGCTTTCACTGGTTCCCAGACTCCATGAATTCAAGCGCCCTATGAGGCTGGCATCCCGCTCCCACCCTTACACCGTAGAAACTTTCAAATGCAGCCGTCTCTTCTACTCCAATAGCTTCATACCTCGCACCTCTCGCCAGTGGAACACCCTCCCCAATTACTGCTTCCCAGAAAGCTATAATCTCCAACTATTCAAATGTAATGTCAATCGACATCTCCAGTTACCTTGATCTACCCACTATCCTTCTCCTCATCCTTTCTTCTATCACTCCTATCTGCTCTCGTTCCAAATCTTCCGCAACCCCCTGCATCCTAGTGGCTTCACGCCTTGCTTGGGGCGTAATGCTTAAAAAAAAAACAACAGAGATAATTTGTTTCGTGTTTATCTTTTGGAGACTTTGATAAGTAGGTTACACTTTGAAAGTTTTGGATATAAAAAAGAAAAAAAAGAAAATTCTTATTCTGATAATTGGTTTTTGTAAAGAGATTTTGGTATTGGATTTCATTAAATTTAAACAACAGGCAAATATATTTTACTCATGATCTTAATTATTTAAACAAAGTGAATTGTTTTGAAAATAAACAAATTTTTCATAGACTACAATTAAAGCATCAACAAGACTTATGTGGATTTCTCAGAACATTCTGAATGATTTTCTAATACATAACATGGTGGGTTGAGTAGAAAAGTAAGTTTTTGTTTTCATTGACAGCAACTTTGAAGTTTTTGAACAACTAGTTTTTTCAATTCACAAAAGAGAACACTGAGTATTTCTTCAAATTGGGGTTGTCATGTTATAAACATCAAGCTAATTGCTTTTAAGTAATAGTAGCATTGTAATTCTGTCATTATATCCCAACAGACAACTTAAAAGGCAATTTATACTGTAGAATTACAAACCTGAGGAAAAAAAAACATTGAAAATGTCAGCACATTCATTAATTTGATTAATTCTGGATGTTATTACCTTTATTTTTTTTTAACAAAAATTTCTTCCATTTATTTTATAATTTGAGATGTTAATATTGTGAAATAACACTCAATATATATTTTTATGGGTTGCCCTAATTTGACTTCTTTTTAATAATTCATTCCATTTTTTTTTTTTTCAATAAAAAGTTTATTTCAACAAAAGAAATTTTTTCCTGATTTCATATTTATACTTACATAAATAGTATCAGAGATTCAAGATAGGACTGGAGATATGCTCAGACTAATGGGTTCATAAAATGTGTTTCCATTCCTGAAAGTTATCCAAGAAACAGTAATAGATAAAAATAGAACCAACTCTAATACATGGTTCTATTTCAAGAGTACTTTGGAAGGATTGAGCTTACTTGCAAAGGCTTCAAAGATTAGCATGATAACTACAATGTTGTTGAGTCTTCCAAAGACTTTATTGAAAGATTTTCAACATGGCAGCAACTTTGCCTTTTTATGGCACTTTCTTGTCCATTATCATTGTATATCAGTGAAAATATACTATAAATTATGAAAATAAGTGGAAATTAAATGAATCACAGGGAAGATTGGAGTCATGCCTTTTTCAAGAAGAATCAGTATAAAAGTAATGACCGCAGTTATAAGCAGAACTCTTTGTTAAGTTCATTATCACCAGTTACCTCAAATTGTATCTATTAGTGAAGGCTGTAACAGTTGAGGAATTAATTAAAGAATGGAATAGTTGAAGTAAATTGAATATAGATTATACAGACTTCTAAATGGAAAGGGTTTGGGAGTTTAGGCAAAAAAAAAAAATCATAGCTTTTACTTAAACTTGAACTCTAGCTCAAGTGCAAAATAAAAACTATTTCCATCACAATGCAGGCAATGCTGATAACTAGAATAATCCTGGAGAACTTTAAAGTAACTTATGAAATACTTATTAACTTGTGTTGCCAAATGTTATTTTGTTTGATATTCATTTCACATAGCAGTTAATATGAAATCCAGATTAGCAAATCTACAAATCTATTGTAATCATCTAGAGCAACATTCTTCTGCATTGTTTTTTTGTGTTCATTTATATCGGAACAGAACTATTTAGTACATTACAATCTGGAAAGAAAAAAATTCTTTTAT